ATTAATATTATTACAACTAAAAAGTTGTAAGTTAATATTTATTTAAAACTACATTTTTTAAAATTAATACTTATAATTCATTTAGTTAAGTTAAAAGTTAAATAAACAAAAAATGAACTCAAAATTACGTTAAAATTAAATTAACTCAAGTTAAAAAAGGTTAATTTAAAAACACATTTTCTTTATTAAATCATAATATTCTAATTTTATTTTTATACTGCTATCATTTCATAACATTAGTTATTATATAAATAAATATTTAGATTAATTGTTATCAACTTTAGAATAATATTATAGTCCCATTATTTTTGTTTTATGTATCTAGAACTTTTTTTACACAGTGGATGCGTACCGTATAAAAAAGGAACCGTATTAAAAAGTCGTAAAACAATTGTTAATAAAGTATAAAACTTGTATTAAACTAAAACAAGCAATATAATAAAAAGCAATTTAAAATAGAACTACATTCGATAACATTTTGTTCATTCTAAGACTGTCAAAGGCAATGATTCTATTGATTTGTGTTCTCACATACTATATCGTCGAATGAGATTCAATATTAAACATTTTATTCAATAAAAATATATAAGAAAAGGTTTCTGCTTATGACAGCGATAACGAAATACAATTTGTGTTTTAACGACAAAATGTTCTTCGAATGTTCGTCGAGTTTCTTTGGTTTGAAAATAAAAGTAAATACAACATGTAAAGGTAGATATTGTATAAAAATAAGTAAAACATATAAAGAAATCTATGCAAATATAAATAAAACCTTTAAAAGAATGATGTAACTGTGAACAAAAAACATGTAAAAGTGAATTAAACGTGTTTAATATACGTAATAGTGAATCGTGTAAACAAAAGTATCATGTAAAAAGAGTTCCACAAGTGTATTAGCAATTCTACTTATTGTTAGAAAATAAAGATTATGAATTGAGCGATTTATAGATTAAAAATTAAACTAAAAAATTGTTTGTTTTAAAATTGTAAACGTTTAATTTTCATTAATTTTTATTGTAATCTTAATTATCATTGATTTTTAATTGTTACTGATTTTAAATAAACTTGAATATGTTAAAATTGCATCATGATTCACAATTAGACCCTAGAACTAATGTGGATAATCAATTATAATTTCGTTATATATATTACGATATGCATGCGCAAATCATTAATTTTATTATTTCTAGATGCAATAACGTCACCAAAAAGGATAAAGCATTTAGTGTATTAAATTAGTACATGGGGTCTAATTGTGGATGGAATTGTCATTACTTTATTTAAGTCAAATTAAAACTTATAAAACGGTAATGAAATGAAATAAAACCATTTATAATATAATCTTTATCAATTTTATAACTAAATATATAATTAAATATTTTATTAATTTTTTGATATAGTCCTGGATAAAAACATTTTTTTTAAAGAGTCCACTAGTGATTTTACTATATGAACATATTTTAATTGTGTTAATAAATAATCAAAGTTAGATTGAAATATAATTTTGTTATTTGTTTTTTATGTTTTATTGTATTTTATATATATCTACTGCTATATATAACAGAAAAAACTTTTATTTTTCCATTTTGATTATCTTATAATGCATTCTTTGGAATTGCAATGTTAATAATAATAAAATGCTAAAAATGATATGAATTGGGCGACTTATAGATTAAAAACAAGATTAAAAAGTTGAAGAGATATATTAGCATTTTATTTTTCATTATATATAAAATATCTTACAATTAGTATACATATTTTATTAAAAAGTGTACATACAACAGATGTAGTTTATCTGCATACCTGTGTATTTTATATTCAATTATTAATAAATATATTCTATTATTAATAAAATAATAAAGCCATATATTATCTGTATATTTATTCAATAAAACAGTTTGATAAAGTAATCAAACTGACAGGGTGCGCTGAAATTCATCAGAATTATGGTAATGTTGCGTATAATGTCTAATCAAAGTATACGGAATCTGTTAAATCGAACTGAAAAACATTAAATAAATTTTTATAATATAATATAATTTAGTCTTTATATATAATATAGACTACCAAACACACACACTCACACACATTCTAATTGTAAAATAACTTCGAATCTTGTTATAACAACCAGAAATGTTTGTTTTATTCAAAATGCATTTAACTATGTACAGTGTCCCGAAATTCGCAAGTTTGAATACTATAGTAAGAAAGTTTTTAAAAAATTAAGTAGAAAAGTTACTTGTAAATTTTTATTTAAAGCAGTAGTTTTTGAAATCTAAGAGTTTAACATGACTAAGAGTTTAATATGATAACTACAATTTTAGACGACCAATTGTTCATGAATCGATGCGTGCGACAGGATTAATAAGCGTATATTTCTGTGGTTAAACATCGTCCGTATAAATGTAGTCCGTACTTGATATTTAAACCCTTATTATTTCACAAACTATTTAAAACAGTGGTGGGATTTACTTGCACATTTCGACCGATTCT